GGCGCCATTACCATCGCAGGCGTACCTCAGGGTCGCCCGTCCTGCCCAGCGGGGGCCTCGCGTGAACTCGCGCATACAGACCAATCCAGACACACACTCGTGCGCTCACACACGCGCACGAAGAAGTGCAGACGCACACGCACACGTACGCTCACGCACACACACGCAGTGACCGCGTGGCGAATTTCCTGCGCGATCACCGTGCGCGAGGCGTATCTCGCTTATCGGAAACGGCCATGAATATGAAGCCGACCGGCCGCCCTTTGCAATTCAGGCGGCACCATCTGCATCTGCGGGTGCGGCCTCTCTCCGGCGCGGCCACGTGCGGCGCCCCGGCGTCGCGCCATCTCCACATTTGTATATCACAAATAAAAAGAAAATGTATATAGGCTGATTATGCGCCATTTTTTTCTCCATCCGTTCACCTCATGCAAGATTCTTCCAGCCCCGGCGCCTGCCGGCCGAGGACACTAGGGCACGGACATTTGTATTGCGTCGCTATTCCTACTTGTTTTGCTAGTTTGACCTTTTTGCGCATCCCGAGAACTCATCACTGACCTTTCTGTATGAATAAGTAAAGCTGTGTCCTTGGAGCGGTAAAGTTACAAGTTCGGGGCCTGCCACTGGTCGCAGTAGGCCTCTGCGCAGCCGCTGATACACACGTATAGGTACGCTTCAAAGCGCTTAATGACTTGCATGTAAATGATCTGCGAGGAGGTATTTAGAGAACAGTATTTGCCGGTCTTTTATCTTATGATTATTTATTTACTAAACAATAGTGACTGTTACTTCGACGGAAGTAATTCGAGAATAATTTATGAAATAATGGGTGATAATCGGATACTTTGCCTAAATGATGAATCAGGAGGCGATGAAAAGTAGGATGCTCTTAAAATTGAATTTTAATTGATTTCGTTAGCTTCGATAACCGGTCCTTGTATCTCAAGAGGAAATGGTTCAGTGGTGCGCATATCGAAATGTACAGGAGACTATGTATGGAAGGGCACAGTTTACACACACTTTCTAAAAGCATTGGTGTTTCATCAAGGACTCGAATCATGTAAGATCATTAATTCCCTCATTTATTCATCCTTCTTCTTTCATTGCAATCCAGGAGATTTGCGCGTCTAATGCACCCGGCCACCAAAACATTATGCTGCCGCTAGCAACGTATTTATGTAAATGTAATTGAAAATACATCTCAATGAGTTGAACTAAAATTTATAGCAATCATCCCATTAACTTAACTTCGTTCAAATCCTGATGCTCCCTATGAAACCACATTCCGAGGTTCAAGCTTTGCAGATCCTCAGTACGTTAGAGGCATGTCTTTCTATATTTTAACAAAAAAAATGTGTTCATTTGTTTGCAGCTTTGAATGATCTAGCCGTGTAATTGAGCATGATAACGATTTGTCACTTAAAATTTGAAACGGATGTTACATGATAGCTTCAACAATGTTCCTGCGCGCACTAGCGCGAAGACAGTGCGTGATGTGCAGCAAAAATAATTCGGGCGCCGGGTCGACGGGTTAAAGGCTCACCTTAAGTATTTGATCTAGGCCTCCCAAAGCACTGGTGCAGGCAGCGATCTCGAGTCAGTTATATGAGGGGCTTTGGAGTTTTAGCGCGTTCTCGTGCAACACCTTCGGCGACGCCAGCTCCTCTGAGCCAAGTCGCGTGCCTGGAATCGGCGATTGCATTTATCTTTTCAATAACTTATATGGGACTCTAGTCACGGATTTGATATTAACCTAACAGTGTCCTGCCGTACGGGTAGTAAATAATGGGAATTTACGCCGTTTTATTAGGTGCTGTTGTTTGTCTTCTCGTTCGTGTCGCGTACGTAGTTACTGTTCTCCATTGGAACGAAATGTTTTGATGTTGACCAAATCTATTGAAAAAAAAAATGAATTCGCCTTCAGTTATTTTCTATTACAATAAGATCGTATATTGTAGTTACAGATACGTTAATGCCAATTAATTTCTGGTATATTAATTATTGGTGATTTCCAGATACACCTTTTAATCCACTTTGGTTCTTGTTAGTATAATTGATAATTAGGTTGGTTCCTTAGGAAAAACATCTAGCTGCTGTTTGCTTGTGGAGTAAGGTAAAAAGTCGTCTTCATTTGCGTATTTGGGAAGGATGAGCCATTATGTACAATAGAGCTGTTAAATCTATAATACTGTGAATGTAAGCCGCCAAATATTTTCTATTGAGTGCAGAGGCTTTACATGTGCGTTTTAAAGAAACTAGATATTAATAATATGTTTTTTGAAATTCAGCTCATCGATCCTGTTCGTCCGTTTACGTAAAATTTACTTGCGTTTATTCGATTTTAATTCTGACATAAGGTGACATATTTTTAAATAATTGTTATTAGGCCACTGCCTCGCGTAAGAATTTTTTCTACATGAGGATTTGAGGAATGTATAACTACATAACCAAACTTTTCAGTTTCTAAACGTTGACTAGTCATCTTTCTTCTTAGAATCCTCTCATTTCTCTGCTGGATTCAGTCACACACTATTTCCTCTTCGTATGTTTTATCGTAAATATAGACTTTCTATTTCAATTGTAGTTTTTGAATTTGCAATGTTTTTTGCAGTATTCTGCCGGTGAAATGTATATTCCCGATTTATATTTGTCATACCTGCTTTTTATAAAAATGTTTCATGTTTTTCTTATAATTTGAAGTCTCTCTCGCGCAGTTTTGCATGGTAGACTAATTTTATGTTCTATTTCAGTTCCAAGTGTTTTAATATATATTTTATTCTTTGCTATTTTTGCTGTTCAGAGAGGGAGAGAGAGAGTTTAAATTACGAATCTGTATGGACCAGTATATTTTGAAAATTGTCTCTACCGAGGAATATTCTCTGTTGTAGAAAACATTTCATTCACGAAACTGTGAAAACGGAATAAAAAATCTGTTTGATAAAGCCACGGATTTGTTTGTGTTTACAGCCGTTTTTAATGAAACTTTTTTTTCAGATAGTTCATACTCGCCGTTTATCACAACGCAATATATTTATGTATTTTCGCGTATTGGAACAGTGACTCATTTCGTGGTACATGTGTTTTTTATTTCGTTTCAACGTCTGTTTTCATTATTATTGCCATTTTTAGACAAGCTAAAATTTAATGTTCAGTGACTCTCCCCGCTTTTATCCACACAAACAAATTCTGCGAAAAAAAAAGCTCGCGAACCGAAGAAGATGAATGAAGTAAGAGAAATTTATTTTGTGAAAAATCACTTCGTTGCAGTGCCTGAGGTGCAAATCTGTTCGAGACCCGTTATCTGCGCTTGGGAATTGTGAGAAAGAGCTGGCGAATGCCTTGGGGAACTTTGACTTTTGTAATGGCTTACTCAGCTTGGCTTTCGTGAGCCGGAGCTCGCGATGCCCTCTGGCGATACGCACAACGGGGTGGAGCAGAAGGATAAATCACTTTTTATTGAAATCGTGAAAAGCTGTTGGCAGAAAACAGCGCTTGTTTTCTACCGCACTCCTCCCCAAACATAGAGGTCTGTGTGCTTTGTGGTGATATCGGGTTCACATCCTCTTCAGTTGCTTTACCACTGAACACGGAGAGTGACATGGATGGGAAAAGGAAAAATATATTTACCAGATAGTAGTTCTCACTACATGAAGGAGTTGTTTGGGGGCGGGGAGAGAGGGAAGGGTTGGTTCATTGGAGTCTTTAAGTCGCAAAATCACAAAATCTTCAACTACATTTGATTCTTTCCCAGATTTGCTTAACAGTTCCATATTATTGTCACCCAATTTTTGAAGAGATTAAAACCCCACAAACTCTAATTTGTGTTCACTTCTACTTCCGTAGGTGCTCTATTAATCGTGTTGTTGGTAACTTTATACAGACATTAATACATTTGAATACATTTATTTTGTATGTTTATGAGAATAAGGTGTTAGTTAAGTTAAATTAGAATCTGTTGTTAGTCACATTCAATTGAAAATCGGTATTTGCACGCTTAAGAACGTAAATGGGCTTTCTTTCCGTGTAGAACGTAATTCGAACTGTAAGACGAACGTAAGAACGTACATGTGCTTTCTTTCTGTAACATTAATCACAGTTTGGTTTTCTCCGAATTCACTTAAAGTTATTCAAATTTAATTAGTTCCATGGTAATTCTGTACGTAGGTTTTTGCAGATTAATGTTAAAAAAATACAGTAATACGAATGAAAATCAAATGAATGTTTTTGCGCAATTTACTTGTTTAATTTAAAAATGCCAATAATCAGTGTTGCCATCCTTGTGAAATAAAATTATTGCGTCGTGGAGCGCAAATTACCTTTGGGTACAGGTGACCCATATCAATCTACTACGTGGCGTTGGTTTAATTCCCGATCTATTCACTAAGAGAGCAACACCAAAACGAAAAAAAACAACACATTTTTGAAAACTTTTTAGAATCTTCTGGCCGCATCCGAAAACAAAATTATTAGTTTCCCAACAGGACACCAAGATGCTTCGAATGACACCTCATATGTCTCGGTTGATAGACGGAAAATAGTCTAACCTTCACGGTTTCGCACACACGCTCACTTACAGTTACTGAAATACTTTATGAGGATGCAGGCTCGGTATCAACCTGGCCTCTTTAACGTGTAAATACATCTATTAAGAAATTCATGATCTCTTTATAGATTCTTAGAAATGTTGGGCTTCCAAAATTCCCCAAAAGGATGCAAATGAATTCTTAACTGAAGTGAATAAGGAAAACTTTGAAGACATCAGAACTCACGACCTTATATTATTCAGATCTTTGATTGCCTTCCCAATGCTTCAAATTTGCGTATTCTTTTGCTTGTAATGCATATTGAACTGACATTCAAATAATCTCTGCATTTAGAAACGTTCCGCTTTTCGCGGACATATGTTGCCTTATTTCCGTTTTAAACAGTTCCAGTTGTTAAGGCGATATGTATTCTTATGCATAATGATAATTTCTTATTTGTTTCTGTCTTTGTTGCAGAACGAAGCTTCTGGATAGAATTGTTGAGGTGAGACGGAGTGTGACACAAATCTGCCGCCAATCCTGGTTAGTAACAATGCCACAATTAATAGATACAGTACATGCTTGAAAATCAAATAATTTTGAAGCATCTAGCTTCATTTGAAGTATGTAGCAATTTAATATTCTGCCTTTTTATTGTAAGGGCGTAAGTTTGGTTTCCTCATATGGAAATGGGAATGTTTTCTCCATTTGCTTGTTTTTCATAAATAATTCCGTCGTCATTAGCATTATACCATCATTCAACGATGTAATCTATTATTAGAAAATGTTCTGTATGAGTACTGGTTCAAGTGCGGTAGCAAGAGGTATAGTTTGGGAGTGCAACAAGGTTATTGTAATGATACCGTCCTCTTAATATTTTTAATTAAGGAATATTTGAATATGTTACTCTTATGACGAACGGAACTAGAGAGAAAAATCGAGACCCTTCAATAATAATGCAGCTAAGATAAACTGTGATTTGAGTCCTGCCAGTTCCTAATTTTTTGGGAAATATTGCTACACGTATTCGGAGATATCTACTTATTTCCTACTGTAGGGAAAAATAGTAATGAAGTTTATGTAATGCAAGCCTGTCGTTTGCCCTTGTGGGACTCTTGCTAGTTTAACCGAAGCACCCTTGGTCGAGCTCCGAATCTCGTTCACGGCGAAGCCTCGATTTTCGATGTTGACCCAGCCTCTCTATTTAATGGTAATGCAATTCGGCCATGAAAGCTAAGTGATATGCTGATTGCATCTGATGTATTGACTGCAGTCACGCAGCAAAACCTACTGTTGACAGATCTCAGTCCATCAGAAATCTCCGGCAATAATTTTTGTTTTATTTACATTCAGTATACGTTCTAGAGTGTATGTCGTTTGTATGGTATATAATTAAGTGACGGTAGTGCTTATAATGAATTCCCAGTTACCTCATCCGCTCCTTTGGTACACAAGGTCCTGGTGTCGATGTATGTAAAATTAATTGACAGTTGTGAACTGGACAACAGTTACAAACTAGAGAGCTGTGCCCGATCATTTACAGTGAAAAATAGTCAACTAATATGAAGATTAATGTGGATGTGCCAGGTGCTCCTTGATGCAAATGACTTTATTTTGAGAATAGTTTTTTTCTTACGAGATAAATTTGAAGTATAAGATAAATAAGAATAATTAAACCAGTGCCGTTTTTAGCCATTTTTAATTTTCTTGATTATTTTGAATTATTTAATTGTTAATGAACATATACCTCTCTCAAATTTTAAACAATTTTGTACTTTTTTTAGCTTTTGTAATATTTATTCATACTTTGGTAAATGATTTCTCTCATTTTGCCAAATCGTCCCCATGACAATGCTTCGCAATTAGCCTTAGCAAAAATACCGGAGATGTTTAGATATCGTTATCTCGTGTTACGGTAACTCTTACAGGCAAGACGTCTCGCTTGTTTTACTCTTTTAATCGTACCTACTACACCCATTTTTAATAACCAAATATAATCGAAAGCACCTTACTACAATTGGCAAGTGTTAAAGACTTCAGTTTCCATGAGAGCAGTTATAATCCCACCCACCCAAGTCAATCATCATCGTCCTAACCTCTTTTCTGCACAACCGCAGTGTTGTCGTGAACGGGATGAACCCAGAAATATTGCTTGTATTAAACCGTAGTGACTGGTCAGACCTATGACGCAACCCAAGCTGTACCTATTAATAATAATAATAATAATAATAATAATAATAATAAGGGAATGTTGCCGACAATAACGTTAATGCAATAAAATGACTCCACGCGTACATATTTTTTGACAACCTGTTCAAGGACATGGCTAAACAGAACGCGTGTGAAGTGCGATTTATAAATAATATAACCCAGAAACGACTTCACTTACTTTCTTCACATAATTATGATTAAAGTAATTCTGTACTCCAACCGTGTTCATTCATTCACATGGTTTAGTCAATCGGTGTCCATCGGGGTCGGCATCGACCCCCTGAGGATCGATGAAATTTTGTGGGGGTCAGTGATGTTCAAGGGATTGAATAGGGGTCAGCAGCCAAACGTGAACGGCTATTGATGGACATCCCAAAAAATGTATATCAATGAAATTGATAATAAATTGTTTTTTGGTATAAAGCAATAACTCCTGTATTAATAAATTACAAATTCGCTCTCTTCTTTTGTATCCTAAGTTCATTCTTAGGAAGAATTTTAGAAACGTGAAAAAGTTATAACGGTGTATTATCGAAGACTCTTATCACGCACGGAAATACTGTCTGCAATACTCGGTGGAGTCGTGTTCTTAAAAACCGATTAACAGTTTGTAACCATTGCACAACTACGAAGATTAGAAACTCAGTCATTCAGAAGCGCATTCTTCTTCGATTATTGAAAATCAAGATCTGTACAAAAATATTGATGTACGAAATCATCTTTAAGACTTTTATCTATATTTATTTCTCCGATGATTACGTATGCTGCATATTATAGAGGAAAATGTAACAGGATGGATAAAGCCAACAATTCTTTTAAAAGGATTTACTAGGCTGTCTGGGTGTCGCCGCGTGAAGCCTAGTAAATACTGACTTCGGCCGCGGAAGCCTACGCTCTCACTTTTAAAATGAGTCGATGAAAGAAAACGATTGGGAATCCTCGGTTTGTTTACCTGTAAGAAGAAAAACAAAACAGTCGCGTGTTAAAGGTGGCGGTTTCCGGCAGGTCTGGACGACTGTCGCGTTCGTCACCCGGAAGCGTTGCGGGCCGAGGAACGAGCCCACGGCGCTGCGCGGCGCGGCGCCCGCGGGAGGCGTACAAAACGTCTTCCTTCAGGAAAACGACATTCCACCTCCACCTTCGTAGACCGAGAGATCATTGACCAAAGTTCCGTAAACGGCGGATTATCGATACCCGCTAAATAGTGATACCGCTACCATAAATTCTTGGCTATCCCGGATATTTACGGGTTCCGGAAGCTTACGGGTGCATCCGATATCTCTACCAGCATGAGAATTATTGATACCTGCTATTCTGACTGGTTGTTTCCTCCGTTTTTTCTGGCGTAGTAAATTAAACAACGGGCTTTGGGTCGCAGTTTTTACACGGCTTTAACCCAATCAAGGAAATTATGGATTAAACATTAATTAGAAATTACATACTTGGCGGGGCTTGGAAATGAAATATTCGAGAACATATTCCACAGCCTAATACGTACAAGTTTGGTGATATATCTGTATATATATTTTTGATAAATCAAGAAATGCTAAGTATGTTTAATGTTGCTCTTAGTAGGATTGAATTTAAAAGAATGCATAACAAATATAAATCCATTAATTTATTTATTACATAATCAACTGAATATGACGAAGGGTAACGAATTGGAAACTCAATTTCATTTCAATAAAATAATACTATAAAATGTGGATCCCAACATCAGATGAATGTATGACCGTACGGTTTCTTTCAACTTCTCCGTGTTTGCACGCTTTGTACACAATAATGGATGGAAATATGAAAAGATGGTATAAAATATTAAACACAATTTGGTGTGCTTTAATGTAGTTAGTCAGTTTTCAACCTAATGGTGTTACCATAGCATTTACGACGTTTTCATATTATTGGTAACGGTTACATAATTTATTGCACCTTCTGTCGTTCTACTATTTCGTAACACTTCAGCCACCACTTTACAAAGTTAAACAATATTTTCTTTTCAGTATGCGAAAGTTACTAGTATTTTGAAGAAAGTTTACGTAAAAAAGTTTACAATCTCAAAATAAAGAAAATGTTGCCTTAAGAAAGAAATCTCTAGCTTCAATAAAGAAGATATATGGCAGATTCGAAGAAGAAATTAAAAGTGTGTAATATTTAAAGTTCTGGACTTCTTAATGAAAATAGGACCTATGCATATTATTGCAAAGGTGGCCACGTTCTGAACAAATACGAAAACGGAAAGGTCCAGGAATTTCATTGTTGTGGTAAAGTCGGAAAAAATCAGGAAATTTGAAGAATCATTAGAAGTCAGGGAAAAGTTTCAGTGGCTTATTAAACTAGATATTATTCCTTTAAAACATTGGTAACGAGAAAATATTGATAATTTGTACTTTCTCACGGCAAAATTATAAAGCTGACGAATTCGTATCAGGCTGCTTTAATATGTTCGTGAAATAGTGTGAAAATAATAATTTCAGTAGGGAAATGTTTTTTAAAAAATGCACTGGTAACCCTGAAATAGTGAGGGAAATTTGTCCCCGGAAATGAATGGTCACCCTACATCATGCGAACTTTGCTACTTTCCGTTTACTTAGTTTTCGATTGATTGCGTGTTCGATGCCAAGCGGTGGGGAGCGAAGGCGATCGCGCCGAGAGCGGCGCCGCGCGTGAATGGACGTGCTAAGTGCGCGCTAAGCCCCGCCACGCCACGCCACACCCTCCGCGTTGTGTTCCGCGTGCTCAGCCGCTCGCCGCTCGTAAAAGCTCGCACGCGCGACGTCTCTTAATGGAGATGCCTCGTAAAGGAGGCGGCGACAGGCCAGCGCTTCCGCGAGAAGCGGCTCAGCCGGGAGCGAATTGCCGCGAGGTGAGGTAGCTAGGAGTAGGAAGCTTTCCTTCTCACACCCTTCCCTACTCTGGTCAGATAATCATAGTCGTGGCGTGGCATTACCTTCTGCAGAATGGACGATATGAAATGGTGGTGGTGGGGGCGGCATGAAGGTTGAATGATAAAGGAATATGACTGATATTCCGTATGGTAAAATATACTCCAGAAGGATACCTTTTCTTATAATATATGCGGTTCTAAATTATAAAACCGGAAACATACTGGTTATGTTGACATGGAAGGGAGATGGTGTTGACATGGACATGTGACGGGAAAGGAAGTTCTATTTCATTGTGATATTAAATTCTCTAAAATCGTAAAGAAAAGTTATCTATACCTTCTTTGACATTCGAATTCTCTCTATGTCTTGATTTCAGTCTACGCGGTATCATCTGAAAACATTTTTGGATGATATTGCAGAACTTCCTGTTTTTAAAAGCGGTATGAA